CCCTGTTAATTTTCTTAATGGTGTCTTTGGATAAGCAGAAAATTTAAATTCTGATAAAGCCATTTTATCAAGTTTTTCTTTTTGTATTCTGTCCAAGGAACTTTTGCCTACCCTTATATTGCAAAGATAATGTGCTATGTTGTTTTCTAGAAGCCTGATCGTTCTGAATATTAAGGTTAGGTACATGATCCACCTCAGATTAATTTTGTGAATAAAGTTAGGTAGGAGTCAATATTCTTTTTTTTTTTTCCTCCGTGGATTTTCAGTTGTTTTAGGAACATCCATTGAAAAGACATTTCTTTTCCCATTGACTTGATTTGGTACTTGTCTAGAAAATCAATTAGCTATATACACATGAATCTATTTCTGGGCTCTCTATTTTGTTCCGTTGTTCTATTTGTCTACCCTTACACCAATATCACCCGTCTTGATTATTGTAGCTTTGTAGTAAGTCTTGATATCACATAGTGTAAGCCTTCCAACTGTGTTCTTTTTTTGAACATTTTTGTTTGTTTTTTGTTTTGAGAAAAGGTCTTGCTCTGTTGCCGGGGTTAGAGTGCAATGGCATCATCATAGCTCACTGCAACCTCAAACTCCTGGGCTCAAGCAATCCTTCTGCCTCAGCCTCCTGAGTAGCTGAGACTACAGGCACATGCCACCAATGCCCTGCTAATTTTTCTATTTTTAGTACCGATGTGGTCTTGCTCTTGCTCAGGCTGGTCTCGAACTCCTAAGCTCAAGCAATCCTCCGCCTCGGCCTCCCAGAGGGCTAGGATTACAGGCATGAGCCATGGCGCCCGGCCTTGAAGATTGTTTTGACTATTCTAGAGCCTTTGCTTTTCCATATAAATTTTCAAATCTTCTTGTCTATTTCTTCAAAATAGCCTGTTGAGATTTTGATGGGGATTACATCACATCTATAAATTTTGTCACTCTCAGTAATGACAGTTGTTAGTATGTGAGGACACATTGCTCTATAAAAGGCCCTTAGTTTGCCTGTCAGTCTTTAGTCCTCCCATCCACTGGCTGAGCTCCCTTCTGTGCCCAGCACAGCTCTGCACGCAGTGGGTGCTCAGTATCTGCCTCTTGCCTATTTGCTTTTGTCCTTAGGAGCTAAGTGAAATATAAAATGACAGAAATGCTTTGTAAAAATAACGAGCTGCTATGAGATGTTTGGGGTTTGCTTTTCAGATGCCCTTCCATGCTCACCCTGGTACTCACAGACAGGTGCTGGGGAAGGCTGGCTGCCTCCTGTCTGTCTTCCCTCCTTGCCTGAGTGCTTAGCTGGCAGGAGATAGTTCGACCCTTTCTCTTCTGATTTTAGTGAAGATTGCATCGAGGTTGTGTGGAGCCAGCCAGTGAGCTATGAAAGACAAAAGTCACCTCCAGCAAAGGGATACGTTTTATGAATAATCATAAAAATGCCTTACAAGTGAGGCTGTTTTCAATGTTGACAGATATTTCAATTGCACATCACTGCATTTGGTCTCCATTTGCTGTCTCCTCACCCATCTTTCTTCAACCCAATCCAAGTGGAGTTCTAGCACCATCGCTTTACCAAAGCAACTCCACAATGTCACCAGTGTTCTTCTATGTCATTGAGTCCAAAGGACAACCTCTGTCCTTGTTGTACTTGACCTCTCAGAAACATTTGACACTGCCGACTACTTCCTTCTTGAAATGTTGCGTTTGCTTGGCTTTTGGGACACCACACTCTTGGTTCTCTGGTAACTCTGTCTCCTTTGCAGGTAAATTCTCCCTTTTCAGCTACTGAATGTTGGGCTTCTTCAGAGCTCCGCCTAAGGAGTCTGTTCTTTAATCTCTGTCTGTATATTTTCTTAAGGCATTCTCATCAACACTCGCAGCTTCAACCCCTTCCTATATGCTGATGACTTTCAATTTTTTACTTTTAGCCCATAGAGCCCAACATCCAACCTAACCTCCCATCTTGCTTGAACGTACCAGGGGCAGGACACTGTTGGTTGTTGTGTTGGATTGAGTTCCCCCAAAAGCAAACTGTAGGGCAAGGAATTGAGTGCCAAGAATTTATTTGGGAGAAGATCCCAGGAAACTCTGGCAGGGGAGTGGATAAGAGAGACAGGGAAGACAGGACAGGGAATAAATTCCTTATTGTCCTGCCAGTTACCTCTGTGGCCAGCTGGAGCTCAGTCCTCCTGGAGAACTCAGGGAGGTGGTGCAAAACATGCTCAGAGGGACCCCAAGTGAGAGGTGACAAAGCTGGTTCTATCTACCACCTCTCGGAAGAGGTTGCTTCTGGGGGCACTAACTCTGACTTGTTCTGCTTGGGCCAGCATGCTTCCACAGCCAGAGAAA